GGTTATTTTGAGATACTAGTCTGCCATCTTCTTGATCAGATAACTTTCCAAATAAAGTTGTATTTCTTGCCTCAAGACATTGTCTCTAATGTATTGGACTGCCATGTAATAAGAAGAGTGCACTTTGACTTAGGACTGAAAACAACTAACAGGTGCCCTTGCTCACTCACAGGGGGCTGGGGGTGGGGGGTAAGCTAGTTCCTTAAATGGAGTGAAAGTTGAGGTAGATCAGTGAGTGGGGCTGAAGAGGTGGCTTAGGTGCTCTGCCCACGCCTTTGATGGTGCTACGTGCAGGGATCATGTGCAGTACATTGCTTTTGCTCTGGGTACCTCAGAAATGACAGTTTGGTTTTGGCCTTTTGTATCTTATTGCTCATAATTTCTCCCAACTGCCAGTGCATGTAGTTATTTTTAGTCTCTTATAATTTCTTTAAATTTGTTGCTCAAAGAGATGTTTTTTCACCTATAAACAGTCCAGTAAAGCATCCCACACCCGAGCCTATCTCACCATGAAGTATAGGACAGCACAGGTCATGCAGGAAAGTATCAAGGTCAGAACTACAGCCAAAAAAGATTGACTTTCCAATGGCTGATAGGGGAAAATCTAAGCAGCTTTGTGACCAATATAACCTCAGAGACACATTTTACTGGATGTAAAAGTTATTTAAGATTTTTAATGCTTTGAAGTTAAGACAAGCTCTTTTGAAATCCTATTGAAGCAATGCAATGCCAAAACCACAGGGCCCCTTTCTTCACTTAGAGAAAAACAGACAGACTTCTTGGTTATGAGGTTATAATACCAATAAATCTTCATTTTCTGTACATAAAAAAAGGGAATTGAAAAGCATGTATAAACAAGAATATACAATGTTATGAAACCCATATGCAGGTCCACAGGTAAAACCCCTAAACCCCTTCCAAGGTGGCAGGGGTGGTAGATTTTCTTCCTAGGGCTCCCAGACATGATAAGTGGAAATTATGAGAGATGACCATACAGTCTACCAAGTACCTGCTGCAGGAAGCAGCAGGACTCAACACCATGCTATGTTCTAAACTCTATACCTCATAATGATTCCAAAGGATCTACGGTCAAACCTTGCCCAATTTGGACCACCTAGTCAGTAACTTCCACTGAACTTTTCTTCCTTTCCTGTTTCCAAATTCACCTTTTAATTGGGATTAACACATATAAGTTAGAGGCATGGGAAGGAAGAAAAATGAACATCATATCAGGTAATTATATTCATTTCCTATTTCCTTTTAGAAACTAGAAAGGAGGTTGAATCAGACTTGGTTGGTCATTGGGGTGGATCATATAGCAAACACTGGGGGATTTCAAAAGCCTCTCAGAATACAAAACCAAGTTTATAATATTCTCTTCCCCTTGTTGTTCAGTCACTCAGTCGTGTCCAATTCTTTGTGACCCTAATGACTGCAGCACACCAGGCTTCCCTGTACTTCACCATCTCCAGCAGCTTGCTCAAACTCACATCCCCTGAGTCAGTGATGCCATCCAATCATCTCATCCTCTGTTGCCTGCTTCATCTCCTGCCCTCAATCTTTCCCAGCATCAGAGTCTTTTCCATTGAGTTAGCTCTTTGCATCAGGTGGCCAAAGTATTGGAGTTGCAGCTTCAACATCAGTCCTTCCTATGAATATCCAGGGTTGATTTCCTTTAGGATTGACTGGTTTGATCTCTTTGCAGTCCAAGGGACTTTCACAAGTCTTCTCCAGCACCACAATTTGAAAGCATCAATTCTTTGGTGCTCAGCCTTCTTTATGGTTCAGCTCTCACATCCATACATGACTACTAGAAAGACCATAACTTTGACTATACAGACTTTACATATTGTTAGCAAGATGATGTCTTTCCCTTTTAATGTGCTGTCTAGGTTTGTCATAGCTTTCCTTCCAAGAAACAAGTGTCTTGTAATTTCAAGTCTGCAGTTACCATCTGCAGTGATTTTAGAGCTCAAGAAGAGAATATCTGTCACTGCTTAGAACTTTTCCCCTTCTATTTACCATGAAATGATGGGATCAGATGCCAGGATATTAATTTTTTAATACTGAGTTTTAAACCAGCTTTTTCACTCTCTTTTTTCACCCTCATTAAGAGGCTCTTTAGTTCTTCTTTGCTTTGTGCCATTAGAGTAGTATCATCTGTATTTCTGAGGTTGCTGATATTACTCCCAGCATTATTGAGTCCAGTGTATAACTAACAGATGCCAGTCTGGCATTTCTCATGATGTACTCTGCATATAAGTTAAATAAACATGGTGACAATATACAGCCTTGTTGTATTCCTTTCCAAATTTTGAACCAGTCCATTTTTCCATGTCCAGTTCTAACTGGACAATTTTCCAGGTCCAGTTGCTTCTTGACCTGCATACAGGTTTCACAGAAAACAGGTAAGATGGTCTGTATTCCCAATTCTTTAAGAATTTTCATTGTTTGTTGTGATCCAAACCATCATAGACTTTAGCATAGTCAATGAAGCAGAAATAAATGTTTTTCTGGAATTCCCTTGCTTTCTCTAAGATTCAACAAATGTTGGCAATTCCATTAAAGGAATGAATTTGAGTCAGTTGTAGTGAGGTAGATGAAACTACAGCCTGTTATATATAGAGAAGTAAGTCAGAAAAAGAAAAACAAATATCATAAATTAATACATAAATATGGAATATAGAAAAATGATACTGATGAATCTATTTGCAGGGAAGGAATGGAGAAGCAGATGTAGAGAACAGACTTGTGGACACAGAAGGGGAAGAAGAGGGTGAGACATACACTGAGAGAGAAAAATAGCACTGAAATATATACACTATCATGTGTAAAACAGAGGTGGCTCAGTGGTAAAGAGTCAACTTGCCAATGCAGGAGACACGGGTTCAATCCCTGGGTCGGGAAGATCCCCTGGAGTAGGAAATGGCAACCCATTCCAGTATTCTTGCCTGGAGAATCCCATGGACAGAGGAGCCTAGCAGGCTACAGTCCAGGGGATTGCAAAGAGTTGGACATGACTGAGCAACTTAGCTAGAGGGAAGTTGCTGTGTAACACAGGGAGCTCAACCTGGTGCTGTGACAACCTAGAGGGGTGGGATGTGGAGGGGAGGGAGGTTTAAGAGGGAGGTCATATATACGTATAATTATGACTGATTCATGACATTGAATGGCAGAAACCAAAATAACATTGCAAAGTAATTATCCTCCAATTAAAAATGAATAAATAAATAAAATGAAAATAGGGCTTCCCTAACTGAGTTAGATCCCTAACTCAGATGATAAAGAATCTGCCTACAATGCAGGAGACCCAGGTTCAATCCCTGGGTTGGGAAGAACTGCTGGAAAAGGAAATGGCAACCAACCCCAGTATTCTTGCCTGGGGGATTCCATGGACAGAGGAGCCTGGTGGGCTACAGGCCACAGGATTGAAAAGAGTCAGAGGTTTAATAGGGGATATATGTATAATTATGACTGATTCACAATCTTGTACAGCAGAAATCAACACAACATTGTCAAGCAATTATCCTCCAATTAAAAATAAATAAATGAGAGGGAGGTGGGAGGGGGGATCGGGATGGGGAATACATGTAAATCCATGGCTGATTCATATCAGCGTATGACAAAAAAACTACAATACTGTAAAGTAATTAGCCTCCAACTAATAAAAATAAATGAAATAAATAAATAAATAAATAAAATGAAAATAAGAAGAAGAAAAAAAAAGAGAAAAGACTGACCAACTCCAAACAGGAGGAAATTCTGTGTCAAGATCATCATTGGATTCCAGATACATTTTAGCATAAAGTCTGATGGTTTTAATCTTCTTTTATTTCATGATGGTGGGCAAGACTTTCAGAATAACTTTGTTAATCAAGACTGAGTGTTCCTAATTATCTACAAGACTCAAGAGCCCAGACCAGGAGCCAGGCCAGCAGAGTCTACATGAACACCAGGCTGTGCTAGCCACAACTCCTCTCTTTAGAGAGCAGGCCCACTGAGTCCAGTTGGGCTGACTTGATACACAGACAGACACAGAAAACAAAGGGAACATTCAGATCTATTTCCACTCTTGATAAGATCCAGCTCCCCTAAGTTGAAACACACACACACACACCAAAGATCAATGTTCCAGGAATGCTAACCCCAGTCTGCTCCCTCCCTCTGCATTTCTCTGGCTTCTAGTGCAGGTTGAGCCACCCTGGGCCTCTGTAGGCTCCCAGCCATTTCCTGTAACTGTTGTTTCAGTCAATCCAGTATGTATTTGATGCCCATGATATGTCCAGTATGGTCCAGGCACTACACTAAAGAATCAGATACAGTCTACCAGACACAGTCAGTTGTCACGGGGCTTGGAACACTACCAGGGAGTCAACATCAGTCCACCCAACATGATGCTGGGTGGCGTGGCACTGGCTGTGTACATAAACGGAAGCCCTGGATCAGTGTGAATGAAAGTTCTGGGAGAGGCTCATGGGGCTACTGGAGGCTCAGTATTATTTGCTTAAATCAATGAGAGAAGAGAAGGCAACCCAGGGGGCCCAACAGAGTGAGCCAAGACCCCAAAGTGGGGGTGACTGTGGCAGTCACAGAGACAACCTCACCACCTCCCTCCATCCTCACTTGTCAGAGTGACAATGTCAGAATGGCCAGTGGAGCTAACAGTTAAAATTTTTAATTTTTCGGGAAGCAGGGAACCTTTGCATATCTTCAGAGTGAGACTAGTTGATGTAAATCACACTTAAGGAGTTACTCCACTTGGCAGAAGGTACTAAGAAGACAATAATGTAACAATGGCTAAGAAACCAGGCTTTGGGTAGAATCCTAGAATGTCATTTACAGGCTATTTGAGGATGGGTGAGCTGTTTCACCTGATACAGAAACCGGTTTCCTTAATTGTAAAGCAGGGACACATGCTTATCTCATTCAATTGCTGTCGGGTTTAAATGAGAAAACCTGTAAGACTTTGCGTCTACCCAGACCACAGTGAGCCCTGGCAATCAGCGATCAAAGATAGCAGCTGTGTCAAAGTCACAGCGCTGTAACAAAATCACAGCAGTACGGCACATGTATGAAGCCTCCATCTGGACACATTACCCTGTCACTGACAATGTGACTATGATCCAGGGACGCTCCTAAGTGTTTTCTTCCAAGATGCGAAAGCTAAGGGGGAAAAAAATTGTTGAACTGAATGGACCATCCCTTTACAGTGTTGCTAGAAGCCCCTGGCAGAAAGAATGATAAAACTCAGGGGACCAGAACTAACCCTGTAGGACTGATCTGCTTTGCGAGTAATCTTTTTTTTTTTTAATAGTACATAGAAACTTCATCATACAAAAATTCAACTTTTATGATAAGACCCAAAAATAAAATAAAATCACACCCAAACCTATCTAACTTCACTATAGATCTGTTGCTGGCTGTCCACCACTGAGGAGAAGGACAAAAGAAATTAAATATTTTATAAAACCCAGACACTCAAAGTCACGCCCAGGCTGGCTCACAGAGCCAGTTTACCTTCATTTTAGACCTACTCATAAACATGCAAGTACTTCAGAGCCTACTGTATGCCAGGCTCTTATTTTGGTGACGTAAATTATTTGCCCTTGGCAATACAGAGACAGTTAGAAAAAATGGAGACAGTGGGTATGGTGGAAATCACAAATCAGAAAGGAAGAAGCCAACTAGCGACAGAATTAAAGAGTAAAGGTAAAGAGGATAAGTCATATCCAAAAGGCATGTACAGAAATCAATAAGCAAACCATCTGTGGAGGAAAGAAACCATTTTTAAAGAGTGAATTAAGTGAATCTGAGGTTACTGTTCCTGTCCAAGGAGCAGGACCTCTCAGCAAGTTCTTCCCCACCAGACTCAGAGAGCAATCCAATTCACCCTAGGACTGAACACAGTTGCTAGTCATTAAAGTTAACACAGGCAATGCAATCTGTTTACCTCTTTTGCTTTTAGACATCTTAGTTGCCCTGTAGCCATCATTTGTACATCAAGAACCCTGTGCCACTGCTACTGCTGCTCATAAATGAGCAGTGGTCTTACATTATTTGTAATGTATTCTACCAAAGAAGAGAGGGAAGTATGTATGACATTTTGGAACAGCTACCAGCTATGCCTGAAAGCATTAAATCTCACCTAACTGGCACACAGTGACACCAAATAAAAGGAACCATGTTACCTAAAATCTACCTAAAACTTTAAAAAGTTATCTGTCACCAAACCTTGATTCTTCGGACACTGGCGACTGTTTCTGCTACACTCTCAATGGCCAGGGGGAAGTGGAGGATGCCTGTAAACTTCACAACTTGGTACAGTGTTATGGCCAAAAACACTTGTTTGACTGTGATCAGGTTGCCAAGAAGCACATAGGTGGTAAAGGTGACAAAAAGGATGACTTTGCTTGAAGTGTCAAAGAATATCAAAGTCATTCCATCAAGGTAGGAACTTCTCAGAATCTTGGAAATTTCCTTCCTGTAAAAGAGAGAAGGAAATATATTTTATTTTATTTTATTTTATTTTATTTTATTTTTTTCATCCCAGTCTCTGGGTCAGATGAGACTTTATTTTTTTTTTAATTTTTTCCATTTATTTTTATTAGTTGGAGGCTAATTACTTTACATCATTGCAGTGGTTTTTGTCATACATTGAAATGAATTAGCCATGGATTTACATGTATTCCCCATCTCGGTCCCCCCTCCCACCTCCCTCTCCACCCGATCCCTCTGGGTCTTCCCAGTGCACCAGCCCCGAGCACTTGTCTCATGTACCCAACCTGGGCTGGTGATCTGTTTCACCCTAGATAATATACATGTTTCGATGCTGTTCTCTTGAAACATCCCAGACTCTGGGAGAAGGCAAGGGTGGGATGTTTCAAGGAAATAGATTTTAAAAGAAGCATCAACATCCAAGTGCCCTGTGTGAGTGGCCCCTTTCTAAGGGGTGGACACAGATTAATATAAACCATCGCTCACATCATGGAGACACTATACAGTGCACACTTGCGGCTCTGCCCTGACCCAAGGACCACACACTTCATCGTCACTTCACTCTCCCAACTAAATGGAGGCTTAATGTCACACTATTAAACATTTTGGGTCAATAACATGTGAGTTCAAACATTCATTCAACAAGCATTCGTAATCACAAGTCCTGTGAAGGGTACCTTGAGGATGACAGAAAGAGAGAACTTGTCCCTTCCAGGAGTTCATGAACTTAGAAAAGAAGATGGGTGACCCAGTGGTTAAGACTCTGTGCTTTTATTTATTTTTTTCCCCATTTATTTTTATTACTTGGAGGCTAATTACTTTACAATATTGTTGTGGTTTTTGCCATACATTGACATGAATCAGCCATGGATTTACATGTATTCCCCATCCCGGTCCCCCCCTCCCATCTCCCTCTCTACCCGATCCCTCTGGGTCTTCCAGTGGACCAGGCCTGAGCATTTGTCTCATGCATCCAACCTGGGCTGGTGATCTGTTTCACCCTAGGTAATATACATGTTTTGATGCTATTCTTTCAAAATATCCCACCCTCGCCTTCTACCACAGAGTCTAAAAGTCTGTTCTGTACATCTGTGTCGCTTTTTCTGTCCTGCATATAGGGTTATCATTACCATCTTTCTAAATTCCATATATATGTGTTAGCATGCTGTAATGGTCTTTATCTTTCTGGCTTACTTCACTCTGTATAATGGGCTCCAGTTTTATCCATCTCATTAGAACTTATTCAAATGAATTCTTTTTAATGGCTGAGTAATATTCCATGGTGAATATGTACCACAGTTTCCTTATCCATTCGTCTGCTGGTGGGCATCTAGGTTGCTTCCATGTCCTGGCTACTATAAACAGGGCTGCGATGAACATTGGGGTGCATGTGTCTCTTTCAGATCTGGTTTCCTTGGTGTGTATGCCCAGAAGTGGGATTGCTGGGTCATATGGCAGTTCTATTTCCAGTTTTTAAAG